ACTGCACCACAAATGTGTTGGAATACCATGCGGGCAAATACCAATTTCAAATTCATCAAGGTGTTGTGTTTCGTATGCAAGGCAGTCAGCTGGCACTAAAAACTCCAACAGTAGGCGGGACAACAGCTCACATTAATATATTTCAGATGACGCAGCGGTTCGTGCTGGGGCTCTCACGCAGAAGGACTGGGTTTAATTCTTCAAACAGCTCCATTACATTACTACTACTAATGCTGATAAATCAATACACATTAATACCTGCCTTTAGAAATAACTTTCATAAAAGTGCGAACTAAACATAGAATTGGTGTAGAGGACAAAAACCTTTTTTAATTTATTTTCTAAAAGTTCCGTTCAAGTTCCGCCAGAAGCTGCTTAGAATGCTCTTCAATTATGATACCGGAACTTTCAAGTTCTTATAACGACTTAAAAATGAGGCTGCTTAGAATTCTAAAGACCATCACTAACTAAGCTGCTTAAGCCACAAATGGCCTTTTATCAGAACTTTTGGTTACTTGGGTATGTACTCGTACCCGACCAAAGACGAAAGCTAAGAAGCTAGTGTTTGTCGGCTACTCAAGTCAGCACAAAGGCTATCGCTTTCTTGACCTCGCAACAAACCGCATCACTATAAGCCGCAACGTGCGCTTTCTGGAGCTGGTAAATTATTCAGAACAGGCGGAGGAGAAGCCAGTTGCTTCGGAGATTCCTGTGGAGCAGAGTGGTGATAGCGTGAGTGATTGTGAAGAAGAAGAAGAAGTGTTTCTTGAGGATCGTGAAAGTGAAGGACGCTCACAAGTGCTTGATGAATAAGAACAGTCTGAGTATGATGATGCTAGTGAAATGAACGAAAGTGATTTCCTTGGCTTCGAACCGAAGTTTCCAGAAGAACAACCAGTGTTAAACAGAGCTAATCGACGTACTCGAGGTGTATTGCCTGGACGTTACAAAGACTTTGTAGTGGGGCAAGTGACTGTAGATAAAGAGCCCGAAGATTATAGAGAAGCAATTCTAGTCCCAGATTGGAGAAATGCCATTAACGCGAAAATAGCGGCACATGCCGTGAACCAGACATGGGAGTAGGTGCTATTACCCCTGGGAAGAAAGGGATTGAAGTGAAGTGGGTCTTTAAGTTAAAGCGGTATGAAGCGGGGAAGGTAATCAAACACAAGCCGCGTATTGTCGCTAAAGGCTACACTCAGTTGTTTGGAATTGATTTCACAGAGATATACGCTCCGGTTACCCGACAGGCGACGCTACATGTGCTGTTGGCGGTGGCTAGCAAGAAAGGTTTACTGCTAAAATAATATGAACGGAACAGTTGACGAGGAATTGTATATGTCCCAGCTGCCCGGATATTCTATCAAGGGGAAGGAGGACATGGTTTGCAGATTGCGTAAGAGCATCTATGGCCTGCGACAGTCGGCTAGATGCTGGAATAAAACGTTACACGCGGTGCTGCTGGATTTGAAGTTCAAGGCTTGCGAATCTGACCCTTATCTCTACTTACGCCATGGACGGAGAGTCGTCTATCTCGTCGAGAAAGAGATTGATGATGTATTCAGGAATCTTCGTGACAAGTTCGAAGTAACATCCCTTGGTCAGGCTGCATCATTTTTTCGCGTATGAGATCGAAAGAGAAGCCCAAGTAACCATTCGCCTTTTTGGCTATATACTGCTGAACAATGGCTATATCAGTATTTGTAAGCTCTGATGAGGCCCGTATATAATCAAAAACGCGAAATAACATGCCTATGGTAACTTGGGGAGTGCATACTCCGGAAGTTCAAGATGGATAACTCTCATGCCGTGAAGACACCGATAGATCTAGAGTATATTACAGGAAGCAAACCGTTCGAAGACACAACGTTGTACAGGAGCTTGATTGGCGCGCGTCTGTACCTGGCCGTCAATGCTTGACCCGAATGGGACCAAGGATTTCAAGCTAAGCTATGGACCGCAGGACGGATGGAAGCTAGGAGGATTTTCAGACTTCGATTGGACAAGCGACAGACGTACGCGGCGTTCTACCACGGGATTCACATTCTTTTACGGAGGTGGGCCCGTCAGTTGGGCCAGCAAGAGTTGTTATTTCGTCCTTGGAGGCTGAATATAACGCGTTATGCTTGGCCTGGAAGCGATGTGGCTGAGACAACTATTGGAGGAGCTAGAGGAGTCGGAAAGGAATCCGACAGTTATGTACGAGGATCAGTGTTGGGAAAATATCAAAAAAATCAAATCTCACCAATTCCCAAGATTACGCTTGATTTCCGTAAACAAAAATTAACAAACATACAACTGCGGTTGATTTTGCAAGCTGTGATATGGCAGCTCGGAAAATCAAGCTAATTAAACTCACAGCTGCAAATCTTAACAAACTGTGTTGAGATTGAGTTGCTGTACACTCGAACGCAACCGAAACTTCCATAACGTATGGCAGCCACTTCGTTTTTGCCATCGGTGAAGAGTTAAAAGAGATGGTAAGCTATACTTTCTCTTTCTAAGAAAACGATGTGCAACGGAATCATTTTTGTGTCGAGTCAACTCTCAACTAGATTTATGCATGTGGTGAATAGTCTCGCAATATCAAAGGAGCTTGTAAAATCAATATTAAGCATGATATTTTGTTCCAATATCACGCGTGATATTGAGAGCGTATAAGAGTGGAAAAATATCAGTTGATTGATGATTTTGCCAACACTGACGAGGATAACATGTGATGTATGAGTTTCACCAAAACTGGAAGATGTAGCGGCAGAGTGAAGCACATAGATACGAAGAGACACTTCATCCGTGATTTGTGTGAACATAGGACTGTAGATTTGGTGTACTCACTTGTAGAAAGTGAGGAGATGACCGCCGACGCTCTTACTAAACCAGTCTGGCTATACTGGATAAGTTCTTGAGGAAAGTAGGACTAAAGAAGTGATTAGGGTGGTACTCATCCAGGAGGAGTATTGGGAATGAATGAGCACCTTGATGTATAGCCACCTTGGCTGAAGAGAAAAATAACTTGATTACTGGCTGCATTTAATGCCTTTTGAAGTTTTAATTAATTACGCAATAAATCAGCAACTTGTACACACGTGTTTCCAGTTTTTCTCCCCGAAAGAATACGCGGTTCTTTTGTCTGCTCTCTGGTGCTCCCTTTGTTCGCTTTCCCGGTGATTTCCTAAGAGAAGAGGTGACAATACGGGGGCAAAAATGAACCACTTTTCTGTCAAACGTGAACCAGCTCCTGATTGGCCGATTTTATGTGGGTAAGATAGAGATAGAGATAGATAAAGATAGAGATAGAGATAGAAATAAAAGAGGAAGAAGCCAATTGTCAACTCTTCCTCTTAGGTGATTCCGTGCGTCTATGTTACATCTCATTAGGTCCACGGATTTGACGTGAGGTGCACTTTTCGAGGCTCCGGGTAACTTTTTTGTTCAAGGCAAGAAGCTCAGAGTTCTCAGTTGTTCAATATTTTCAACAATAATTTTGGTAGGTCATCCAATACACGGCTGGCCCTTCATTAAATTTGTTTTCTACGATGGACTATTTCGAGACAAATGACAACGTTCCCGACAAAAGATGTCCAGGATCAGGTCCCATCTGCTGCTGTAGCCAAAGAGCAGGGGAAAAAGGGAAATGTTGAATCCCAGAATCAAACTTCTTAGATTTTGTCGTCAATATGAATCAATATGATTGTCAATACCTCACTTCCGTTTTATCCCCCTTTGCTCACAATATGTGAGGCTGGGTGGAATAATTTACAAAGCCGTGACTAACTTGAATATCTCGGATGACAAACGGTTTCAGTCACCATGTTATACATATTCTTAAAAGAAAAATTCTGCTGAATCGATTGATGTGGGTCTCATTGGCCAGAGACATTTGCCTGCTGAGATTGAGGGCTGGAGTCAACCCGAGTTCGCGGTAAAATAGGAAATGCGTCTATCGACATACTTTTGCATCTTACGTTAGGTATATTCCTGGAAATTAAGTATATGTTTAACGACACCATATACACCCTCAGGGAATTTCTTCTGCCCCAACAGAGGATCCAGAACGACCGATAAAGTGGCCTCACTATACAAATTGTCCTGGAACATTGCGATTTCCTCTATTTTGTTCAAAATCACAAGATCATAGTGTATATAATATGCGATTGATATTTTGATGTAAAGTGGCCATATCTTGTTTCTCCGGATAATCTAGATTGACCGATAAAGCGGCCACATTATAAAAATTATAGAACCCTTACACAACATTCATGTTCTTCACATTCATAAATTTTGGTAACATAAAGAAATTCTATAATCCATATTAAATTTCCTACGCAGCTGATCGAAACAAACATTATGATGTCACTACAAGTGAAATGAAATTCGAGTGAAAAACGAAATGCAAGTACAATTATACTAATGTCCAGAGAAGTCGAGAAATTCTTCAACCCGGAAAATTTCAGCATGGTCTTGCTTTATCGCTGCGCCTTTACCGACTTAGCTAAGGGAAGCTCAGGGATCCTATGCAGTGGCCTTTAATTACGTGGGATTTTGGATCCCTTTTTCCCACTAGCGGAATTTATGTGTAGTTGTGTTCTACTGCTAGTAGGATAGGTATACACATTATTGACGTTGCACAAACATATTGTATTGGTCAAATGATGACAGTGTTACCACAATAGGTAAATAGTACATTCTGTTTCATAAGTTTTAAACTATATAAATATTAAAATTTATCAACAAATAGTTTAAGCTGCAGTACAGGTTATACAGGAATATATTGTTCTAGGCAAATAATAGTAGGCTTATCCAGCTTTTAACCAACTAAATTGTGTGTTGGGTTTAGTTTACTCGCGAAAAAAATTGATTTTTTATAGTTAAGATAACTTAATCTATTATGAAAACTCCTATTTAAAAAAAACAGGTTGATTCTATTGTTTTTTATACTATTATTTTACAAGTACTTATTGCTATTCATTAGCCTTTATTTTTATTTGATTTATACTCACGCGTAGATAGCTAACAGGAACTTCCGCTGATGTGTCCGCACTCGGCCAGGATTTACGCGCTTCACTAGCCGCGTGTGTTTGTATATTAACCAGGTTTCCCGTAGCACGTTGGCCGCTGCATTTTTCAGCTGTTAGGAGTAGATACAAAATGATGAATGAGATAGCTTCCGTTTTATTGTTGGCTTCTGAATTTTCTTTTCTTTCTTTCAATGATAGATACTTAAATTTAGATTAATGATGAAAGTATTGTGACCCGCTTTCCAGAAAATCAAAAAATGGCTTGGTACCAAATAATAAAAAGTAAAAAAATCTTAGTTTAAATCAGAGTTGTTAATAGATAACAATCGATAACGTCTGCAGTGGAGTATTTGCATTGCAGACGTTACCGCAGACGCTACGACGGTTATTGATTGACAAGCTTGGTTCAAATGCTAAAATAAATGAAACTTGTTGATTTATGTTTTTGAGGTTTTCTTTCAACTCTTCCATTTATTCCAGATCCTACGCTTCCTCTGGTTGACTCATCTCTAGTGAATGGTGAAAAAAGTTATACCACGTTAAGCATCAAGCTGGAAGGGATCATTTTTATATCTTTAAATTTGTCAAACCTCTTAACGGAATTTTTTCTACTTGTTTGACCCAGTTCCTTTCAACCGCATTGGAATGACACTTAAATTTCTTCCGGGTAGCTGTGTATGACACTTTATAATACACTGTTACGCAGTTTCAGGCCAAATGACGCATTGAAAAACTCGACCATTTCAGATTTACATAACATTTTGCATAATTGGGTGTTATGAGCAATCATTTACAGTTTTTATAAAAATTCGGCCATTTTGGATCTTTTCAAAATGGCGTTTTTGTCATGTTTCAATAAATTGTAGCATGAAAACGTCACTTCTGACAAAAATGACGTCTGAGACAAAGTTGTAGAGGTAGCGGCGCCGGTGGTGTAGTGGTAAGCGTGATTGCCTCTCACCCCAAAAGGCCTGGGTTCAATCCAAATTTTCTGAGGCATAAAATCTCTGATCACGCATGGGATGTAAAACTTCACTTATTAATATTTATTAGATACTTTTTTCTGAACTTTTGACATTTTTAAATTTTTGCTTTATGATTAGATAAGCCTAAGTGACAAAACTTTTCATTTGTTTCAATTTAGAAATTTGAAAAGCTTATATTAGTAGGGGAGAATGGTATACAACGCACCCCCTGGGCAGAACGCACCAGCTGACTTTCATTTGTGTTTTTCATGGCTTTTACGTAACTTTTTTGTTGTCTTATCAAGCAGCACTTCTAGCATAGCATCTGAATTAAAAATCCTGCATAATAAATCCTATAATTGGATTAAAAATTCCAAGAAAAACTAAAAACAAAATGAAGAAGTGCGTCTTACCCCGGAGGTGCGTTATGTACTGTTCTCCCCTATATTTTATAAACTTTCAGTGAGCCAATTTTGTGATCCAAGTTATATTCATCAGTGGTTTGATCAACTATGGGAAACTTTTTGTTCATCGAATATTACATATCCGCCAATATCTCAAAAGTTTTGTATTAAAATTACGTGGCATTATGAGGAACGATGACATTTGGGTTATTTCATTAGTCCTGAACAATCGGTTATCAAAGAACAGAGATACAATGTTTTTAATGACAATAAGATTTAAGGTGGCTCTATTGTATTGACACGCACTATATAATAAAGAGTGGAACGATCAAAAATTGGTCGACTTGGCGACGAATTTGGTGTATTTTTTTTTTAAATCGTGCATTTAAAAACTTGAACACCGCTCATTTTGTTGGTCTGTGTGTACGAAATGTTGCCTATATTTTTTTTTCATTTTCCATTCAGTTGTCAAAATCGTGTCGAAGCAAGAGGAACAGCGTATCAACATTTTGCGCGAGCATAAGCAACATCCAAATTATGCCCACGCAGATTGATTGCGTCAGAACTTTGATTGCGTCATTATGGACAATGAAACATACGTCATACTCAAGAAAAAAATCCTCCAAACTCGCCGGAGCTGCGCCCAATTGAAAAAATATTGGGTAATAGTTAAGCGGAACCTCAAGAAAACTCATAAGACAGTTGGAAATGTGTAACAGTTCTATACAAGCATCAGAATCAAATAAGGTGGATACAACAGCGGTACAAAATCTGATGGAAGGTGTGAAAACGTAAAGCTCGACAGTTCCCATTTGGAAAATTGGAAACCTAATTAGATAATTTTTCTGTACTTTGTAGTCATTGAACTCAAAAAAGAAATACAGATTGATCATTTATACAATAACATAATCAGTGTGTCCGTAATCATGTTTTACCAATTTTGACCGTTCCATCCTTTAATGTATTTTTAATTACTATAACTAGCATGTATTTTTAATTAGCGCAACTCAAGCCTTGAAAAATGCTGATGTTTTTTTTTTGTATTCTAATCCATTCATAACATTTTAGGACATTCGTGACTTTTTGACCTGAAAATTTGACCTGGTGGCCCTTAACGTAGGCATGGATGCTAACCACTACGCCGGGTCTGTCCCCTTGCTGAAAACTGAGAACAGGACGATCTTTTGAATGTGTCAATTAGAGATTCGAGGCAGGTCAAACGTTTTACATACTTGTGAAATTTTTCCAGGTAGCAGATAATTCTAACTATGTACAACTTCACCACCACCAAGTTCATGCTGCAATTGCCACAAAACGACCGTAGCTAAAATCTTTGATGGTATGCTGGCAAACAGATTCCAGGGGGAGCAAAAGGGGTATGGGGCATAAGGCCCCATATATGTTTGTTCAATTGGTATTTTCTCAGCAACAAATGCCTGATAAGTGAACTCAGAAGTGAACAGAACTCATGTTCTCCATTGTTTTTCATTTGGACAAAGCAAATGGATATTTTTGGTTGCTAGCAAAACATTGGTAAAAAGTTAAAAAAAAGTAGGAACACTTTAGCCAACATTAGGGACATTAAACCTAAACTTTAATACTACAAAAGGCATGAAATATCAGCAGAAGGTAATAGATGGAATGACGCAATCTCAACCGGAAATCATTCACATGTTTCATATTTTCAACGTCTCGCTGAGATGCATAAGAAAAGCAGATGTGATATCAATTCGAAATTTTCACAAATATTGTTTTAAGGGTGGAAATGATTTTGGTTTAATAACGATACTACTAATGCAGAGAGCATAGTATGCAAAACATTGCAACAAGTGCAATTTGAAATGTTTGCTAGTATTCATATTACGCTTTCGTATCATGAATGAAAAAATTACAATGCTAATTAAGAATGTCGAAAAATAGGTTATGCTTAGACAGGAAATGGAATTAAACAAAAAATAATAAAATCAATTAAAGAAAGACTGATATATGAAACGGAAAGAATAAAGAGCGAAATTGTTGGTACAGGAAAACGCCGTCGGTGGTACTGAGACCCATCGCAACAGCCGAAATCCAACCAATTGAGTTGATTTTCTGTACGTAATTTGGGCATAGTTGAAACTAATCACATCCACATAAATCACCTCAATTGGTTGAAAAATAGCTGAGAAATTATGGCGGATGGGTGTGTATTTTTTCTCAGAATCCAATTAACATGACAATTTGCTTTAGTTTTTTATGAAAGAAATTGATATTTCAAACGGAAAACACGAAAAAAAAAACATTAAGTAATCCATAAAACAAATCATACGGATACGTATCTGCATTCTTGCTGTGCTGGTGAAAATCGCTATCACTACACTGTGATCTCTCTGCCACCATGTTTACAACAGGAAGCCACCCGTTCATTCATCCGTTCGTTCGTTCGTTCCAAAAGACAAATGGCAGACAAACTTTCAATTTGGCACTTACCCTCTTCGTGAGCTGAGTATCCATCATGAAGTTGTGCACATGTTTTTCCGCTCGTGTTAACTCCAACTTTCGCGATACGACTGCCACCAGTAGTGCCGTACAGCCAGCACCCTGTTCCCGGGTATGGACGTTGGCAGCGGATAGTCGGATGTTGGTTACATTTGCAAATTCATGGTTTGGCGGAAGAATGTACCATCCATGTCGGATGCGAGTACGTTGATGACCGCAGCGCCGTGGTTTCAGTGTGCCATTTGTTGCATTTTTGGGTGAGAAAAAGAAAGGAAAGATGCGAAACATTGTATGAATAACAAATATAACTCGAATTTAAATTGTTGTTTTATGTTTATGTTTTAATATTTCGGTATAATAGGTTTGAGTGTGTCTTTGTATATTGCTTGAAAGTAAAACTAGGCACTCGCCAATGCTAGAGCTGTGGGTATATTTTCGCAGCGTTTTATTTTATTTTTATGCAGTGCTTTCACTATGGAGCGTGAATTTTAGCTGTATGTTAGATCGTGCATTCGGCTATAGTGTTGGTGGTTTTTCCTACGGATTTTGATACAGAAAGGGTTAGTCTGTCGGATCCAGAATCACTCGTAGACGTTCTCGCAGGAATGGATCCATACTCGCAGTTGATGATGTTTCCGGGATATATTACCATTGTAGTTTTGAGTTTTGAATCATCAATTATGTGCAGAAATAAATTTACAACTTAATTAAATTTACTACAACGACTGCTTCAGCAAGGCTTTGAATATGTTTTCAGCAAAATTATCTATGGAAAATGGATCTACTGAGAGCAGACTGCAGTATTAAAACTCTTCTTACGTCTTCAACTTCCAAAGCTTTGTTGGCCACGGTGTCTTTGTTAGAATAACTTTAAAACAAACAAAAATCCGCATTCTCGAAACCGGAGATAAACTTTCCCGTGGCTAAAAATCTCCTAAATAAATCTTAAAATAAAAGGCATTCACGAGACCTTTAAACCGATACAGAAAGCAAAATCAGGCCCGGTGATCAACGCGTATCTGATACGTGTTCTACTGTTTTGCCGCCCGACCCCGTTAATGGCTCATGATCGAGCAAATATTTAAATTGACGTAAGTGCTTTAGTAAACAATGATTTAAAACGTTAATTAATCGAAACTGACAGTTTCTTATGGGAATTTTCGGTGGAGCAAAAGGATAGTACGAAGTCCGCCATGTTTCACGCACAGCCTGACTTTTACTTATGGATTTTACCATAGGAGTAAAGAGCTACAAAGTCGCCGTTAACGTCAATGCCAGCATCATGTAGGGAAAAATTTAAACTTCTTATGGTGGTGTTAATATGCGTTGGCGATCTATTAGTTTCAATAAATTTATGTTTGAAGTCATTGTTTACAATAGCACTTACGTTGCAGTTTTATGTTTGGTTATTTATTAACTACTTCTTAGTCATTTTTGTAATTTGGATTCGAGCATATTTAACTTTTTATTTATTCCAAATTCAAATCAATTTACATCAATGTTTTAATATAGGCGCTCCTGCTACTACAGTAACTTACCAACCTTATTTGTTATGATATATATCATAGTGTGTTTACATTGTTGTTGCCTTGTTGCCATTATTTTAAACAGGGTTTCTATACCGGCGTATAGTATAACAATTGTAATCTTAAAACTAAAAACTTAAACTTTATATTAACTAGTTATAAAAAGAATTGATCATTGCGATTGAAAGTTGCAATGATTTTTGCCTGAAATTGTAAATTATTATGTTGGAAATTTGTTTTAAAGTCTCAATATTGGAAACTCGATGTGCCTCGGTAGTACCGTACCAGGGGAGCAGCTCCAAAATCATCTTAAGAACTTTGTTCTGAATCCTCAACATGTTTTTTTTTCCTGGTTGTGCAACAAATTGAGTTCTAACTGTTTAAATATTAAAAGTTTGTCCTACAAGAAAAGCTTAGATTTCCTGTTTAAATATAAGAGTGATACAAACATTTTATACCTATGTGTGTTACATTTAGCTTGGATGCCTCAATGTGATTTTTTAGGGTTAACTTTTGATCAAGTACTAGTCCAAGATATTTCACTTGATTTGACCAAGAAATTGAAACTCCGTCCATAGTGACTGTGTGACTACTACTACACACTTAGAAATACCTAATCTTACACGTGACGGAATCCATCTTTGACATAAAGGATGAGACGTAAACAAACATGTATTTAATATAAAATTAAATGCTGCGAGACTGAAAAGTTCGCAATTACGTTTGATTGAAATGAATTTCGCGTCTATTATGACTCAATTTTATGTCAAAATTGACGCTCGCATATGTCAGTCTAAGAGCACCTAAATGTACATACATTTTTGTAAGTGTGTAGGTTTCAAAAAGTAATATCTCGGATTATGTGCAAATATTATAAGTTGAGTTTTGGAAGCGTTGGGAGAAATCATCAGTTTTTGCAAATACGTTGAGGAAATATAAAAACTTTATTGCAGTCTGCTGGAAATAATACGAAGATTACTTTTTTTTTTAGCGAAAATGCCTGTTTCATCGGCGAACAAATATTTGTGGCAACTCTGAAGTGTAAATGTTATACAGTCTGGAAATTTGATAATTTATCTGTAGAGTTAAATAATATTGAACAAATTTCATAATATAGAGTAATAATAATAGAACCAGTCCGTATTTTCATCATTCATATTTTATTGTCACTGTTTGCTACTAACAACTGTAATGTGCTGTTATTGGTGCCTCCGGTAGCTCAGTCAGCAAAGGCAAGGTATTACCAAACTGGAGGCTGTGGGTTTCGATTTCCGATCCGGTCATGGACGTCTTTCTTTTCATCGACATTCCTGGGCACACTGCATGCCACACAATAAACAAATTCATGCATTGGTTGGCATAGAAACCTCTCAATAACCTCTCATAATTGTGGAAGTGAATCTAGAACACTAAATTGAGAGCAGGCGAAAGCTCGTTTAAGAGCTTAAATGCCAGGTAGAAGAATGGGTTGTTCTTGTATGTAAAAACTATGAATGAACGTATATAGTTTTACTGCATTAGACTGGCCCACAAAAATAAAAGTTCTAATTTTCCACGGGCCAACCTCTAGATTTGTGCCATGAAAGTTTAAGCTCATTTGGTTGTAGGATGAGCTGGAGTTTTTTTAGTTTGAAATTTTTATGGGGATTTTGAATAAATACATGAAAAAAATACACTCCTACACTCTAACGATCATAAAAAAGTTTCCTTATTCTCGATTTGATTCTGATTTTTAAAACTTGTAGTTCAAACAATGAGTAACCACTTTGCTGAAACTGCATTATGAATCCGGTTAGTTTTTTTTTGATATTCGCTTATGAATGTATATGAGCATTTTGTATATGAAAATTTTAACCAAATCTCCTATATGAACATTAAACCAAAAGCGCCAGCCCGTGTAGCGTCAAAACAGCTGAAACATCCAGAGAGTAGTTAACTGGATGTTGGCCTGTGGAAAAAATGATACGTTGATACGTTGCAAAAGCGGCCTGTATTTTGTTGCAATATACAAACAAAATGCACATATAAATTCAAGATCGATATAATACTAACTTGAGTCATGGAATTCTGAGCTTGCATAACCAGTATTATGCTCTTCCTGTTATTTCTTCATATATTTAAAAAAAACCATATAAACTTTAAGCCAAATATGTCAGCTCGTGTTACATCTGAATGAGCTGAAATTTTCAAAGAGTAATTTTCTCACCAAATGGCACAAATCTGGGGGTTGACCGTTGAAAAAATATATAAAAAAAATTCTCCCATATTACTGCATGCACCATGAAGTCGGTCTCTTTTTATTAATTTTAACACAACGTAGAAAATCGGGTCCTACCGTGCGCGATCAATAATTTTATAATTAATGTCATGCGTTTTCTTAACACTACTAAAAAAGCTCTTAAACATTACGTCAATTATCATTTTTCTTCATGAATAGAAATTAATAATAGTGGTGAAATGGCACTATCGTTGGCTTATGGATCTTAAGATGCATCATTACAAATCTTCTGTTTTTGCTTAGAAGAATGCGTCATCTCGACATTGCTATTGGTTATTTTTTATGGTAATAAGCGTCACTTCAAATATCAAGAAATGCTATACTACGTATTTATTGCATAGGACCAATTTTAGCGATACTTAGGCGGACTTTAGGGACTCCATCCCTATATAGTTGTGTTGGAATGAATTAGAATGTCTACGGATTAAGTAATAATAATATGTATCAGTAAAAGTCCACGAAATTAATGAGATTTTAATCAAAACCTGCGCCCATGTTCATTTTGTCCGATGACATTGAACATTAAGCCAATCAACGTTAGACTTGAACTTGAGTGTAGTGAAAAGTAGCAAACCACTCTATTTTCATTCATAAGCTGAATTCAAAAGTACACTGTAATATATTGTGAGATATTCAACACACAAAGCTATGAATATTTAGCACAGTGATGACGAGACTATTTTGCTATTCCAGATATATATGCCATAATATTGAGCCTTTTGAGAAGCTTTCCCTTTTAGCAACCACATGGGTTCTTCGTTCGGCTGAATTGGCATGAAATCTTGAAGCAGACAGCGTATGAATTGTAGATGGTACATGTACAGTGTGGCATTAACGAAACGACCCGGTTATATAAATCATAACTGAAATGACCTGCCAGCTCAGGGTGGGCTGCTTATCTTAATTGAGTTTCTTAACGAAAAAAGTTTCTCTATGGTCGTTGGCGTTTTGTGCAGACCCCTTATTGAAGTACCTGCCCTGCAGTTTACTCAGTAGGTTACTGGAGCTACGACACGTTCGCTATAGAAGGCATCAGCACAACCATCAAGTGTTTCATTTCATCAAAGTCCCCAAGAAGACGGATTCTGCTATATTTTATCTGGTATGATATGACGACATAAAAAGAGAAGAGCATAGAGCATATTTTTTCCCGTTGGGGCTCTCGTGAGAATGACTTCCAGGGTCATAAAACAACACTTTCGGTGGATGGGTGCAGACGACCACCGTTTTCATCCAGAAAGCCGAAAGAAATATAATACTTTGCAACAGTAATGACCAGATTTTGTCAGCCCCCCTCT